CGGGCAGCTGCTCGTAGCCGAAAACCTGTAAAGCGGCCACTACGTAATCAAATACCAAGAAGTACGACCCAAGGGTTGAGGCAGCAAACAAGGGTCGGGCCTGCCTGACGCTTCTTCGCGCTCTCCTTGCCGTTTTGGTGGCAAGCTTCTCCAAAGCATCTGCAATTGCGTCTGTGTCACTCTGGCTGAGTGTCCTCTGTAAAAACAACCTTCGCAAGGTGAGAAGCTGACTGTATGACGAAGTGTTCATTCGTATTGGGTTGAGAGCGCCAGCTGGAAGAAGGCACTTAGGAACGACACCCGGCTCCAGCACCGGTGTCCGCACATACGGGTGTGATTCAATAGGAAGCTGAAAACCCAACGCCGTATTGAGTGGGCCGCTGGTGCTGGGAAGAGGGTGCATCGCCGAGGGTGGCAGTTGTGCACCAGTGGTCCACGTATTGCTTCCCGATGCCACAGGCTGCTGACTCTGCGATTCTGGCTGAGAATTGATTACTGAAATTATGTCGTCCCAGGCATCCGGATCCACAGCAGAAAGCGCACCACTTGGACCCTCCCCTCCAAATGCTGCCCCTTGTGAAGCCATATGCTGAAGCTCAGAAGGTTTCAGATGCTGCGATTCTGGCTGAGAATTGATTGTTGAAAGCATGTCATCCCAGGCATCCGGATCCAGAGCAGAAAGCGCACCACTTAGACCCTCCCCTCCAAATGCTGCCCCTTGTGAAGCCGTCTGCTGAAGCTCAGAAGGTTCCTGATGCTGCGATTCTGACTGAGAATTGATTGCTGCAAGGATGTCATCCCAGGAATCCGGAGCTGCTGCACCCGTATCCCACGCTGAATGCGGCCCCACTGGGGTCGGTGCATGGACCGCGGCGGTAGCCGACAACACTGCGTCCAGGTCGACGATCCCCGTGGACATATCACTGCTAGGAGACGAATTCGGTTCTGGAGGCACAAGTCCCACTTCCTCCTCCATCGCCAAGCACTCCTCCATCAAGGAAAAAAGGTCACTGTCATCCATATCATCGCCACCGTAAGCCAACCTGCGAGGAATCATCCTTGACGTCTGCCTGCGGGTGAGGGAGACTTTGCATATGGAGAACAGCATTATAGCCATGATAATGGGGAAGGCTAATATTAACAAGACGAGCGCCGAGCGACTCCGAGGAGTTGAACGCGGACGACGAGCGAGCGGGTCCTGAAACGACGATGTCGTCCTGCTGAGGTGAGGCGCCGACTCATTTTCTTCTAAAACTCCATCTCTTGAATGCAAATGCGACGAAGTGAGCTTTGTCTCGAATAGGTGATGCGCTAGCCGCTGCGCGTCGAGGACGGAAGGAGGCATCGTTCCCAGAAGTATCGCCTGACTTGCGCAGATGGAGTAGCTGTTTGAGAATAGAAGCAAAACTAGCTAATTAATGCTATAATACCACACGAAAATCACAGGAGGAAGAGAAACAGGGATGGAGATCGGGAGAATTGAGATGACGACACTTCCTCCCGGGTCTTCGCGTTCGTGGAGAAAGCAAGCGTGCGAGGTGCCTATAGCCGCCAAACACTTTGTACATTTGCTTTCACCTTTCCCACTGGCATTTTTAGTCCGCAGAAAACCGAAAAGCTATAATTTTGTGGAGACCGGGCTGAGTACAGCATCGTGTACTACGATATGCTTCGGAGGGAGTCGAGCAAGGATCGGCTTCGCTCTACGAGTCTCTTCTACGACGGGGGGCGTTACTGGGTGTGGAACCAATTAGTCCAAGTGTAGTCTATGCATGGCCGCATTAGAAACGTCAGATATAGCCGATAATTAAATACCGATTGAATTTCCTCCGGTGTTCCTTTCGTAAGTACGCAAGGACCGCCCGCCTTAGATGAGCGGTCCACTGCGTCGAGGGCTCAAGTGACATTTCAGATGTCCCGCTGGTGAAATCGAAACGCACCTCAGTGGTGGCTGCTAGCTATCATCCGGGTTCCATCTATTCCATCATATTCTCACTATATTATAGTCCATAGTTCATTCATATGTGTTTTAGACATTACACTACACTGCTCGGGGCAAGTCGCAGGGCAGTACTACAATGGCGCTGCGCTCTCTAGCGTCAGGCCCGTCAACATGCTTCCTCTTCCGGCTTGCGAATTGCCTCTGAACTCACCCATACCAACGTCTATATAGAGGCAATTTTACATAGATGCAGTGTCTACATAGATGCTTTCTTGAGTCTGTCCCGCTTTTTTCCTTTCCTTCCTCTTCTGCTGTTTGTCGCCAGCGCCAGCGCTGCCGCACGGAATACCGTGCACACGCTCGTCATATATGCACTTGCAAATAGCTATATATATGCATGAATATATGCAAATAAACAAAAATACGAAATACGTATGCACTGATATATTATAGTAATATGTACATTAAATGCGTGTACTACTTCCATGCAATATTGGCCTGACGCGGGAACAGCCGGCAATCAGGGCGCTTGTTTTCCGCCTTCCCTTCCCTAGCAGATGTCCAACCCTAGCATGTTCCATCTGTTTTTGTATGCAACCTGCCTACTGAAATCCTAATGTTTGTTTTTCAATGCTCTACAGTGTCTGTGCATGGGGCAAAAAGTGGTAGGGTGTGCTTGCATGTTGGGTTGGTTGCTTGTAAGCACCACTGTAAGCACCAATTGCAATAAGGTCACTTGCAGTTCATGGCAAGCCGCCTCCTTTCCCCACTATCCCCAGGCTCGTGCCGCTGTACCAAGGACGCCTGGAGGCTGGACGGGAGGCAAGCTGCTACAGCATATTGTGACTCTCCAATGAGATCGAGGACTCTCATTACACTTGGTAACACCGCATGGTTTACCGCAGGAGCGAGCAGCAGACTCCAGCCCCTCAGCTAGGCCGCCTAGTGTATAGCACTACTTGGTAGGGAAGACATTCTGCAACAAAAACACGAACCATAGAATCTTTACATACGCTTTCTAAAAAGTCCGTCAAAAATTCAGGCCCCATCTCCCCTTGCATAATGGATATTGAACAGGATCTCAGCTCCAGTGGGGAATCCACCGACGGCTAACCATCTTGCTGGGTTGGAACAAGCACAGGATATTCATCCCATCCCGCGAGAAATGCCGCTACAGTAAGAACAGTTCATGAAGAATGCCCTCATCTCTGCCAGCCGTCCAGACATGACGGAGGCCCCAAAGCAGAGACGGTGGAGGACCTCTCTGCTTCTCTGTAGTCGTGCTTTCATCTTCCAAATGCACTTGAAGGCAAGACTCTACTGAGGGGCGCTTGCCCTGAAGCACTGGGAGAGTACACTTCTTAGTGCTCCCAGCATCATTTACCACAGCGGTAAGGGGAGTGGAAGGCACGATCCAAGAAAAATGGATTGGGGAGGCTCCAGCGCAGTGCAGAGGAACTACAGTGGAGTGAGCGGTCACACTACAATGATACTCGAATTGGGCCTGTAGAGGTCTCTCCGGAAGAGAGAGCACAACTAATTTGTTGATAGAAGTAAACCAACTCACATTGAACAGGAAATAAAGCCATCAGGCTAATGGTCGTCGGCAGCGTCTGAGGCTGGCTGTGAGACTGGTACTGCATTGGAAGCGTTGACCCGCAAGGCGCCCGCATTGGAAGAAGAATTTATCATTACTCTCCCTGCATTAGGAGGACTAGAATCCGCATAGGAATAGTAGACTGTTCTCTGATATCTTACGGTTATTTCAAGTGTTTTGGGCTGAGTGAGGAGTGTATATATCGCGTGTCCACTTAAATGAGCAGCAACGGCTACGAGCAGTGTTCATTACATGCAGGAAACAGAGGGGGGGTTCATGCACTGCGTAATGATTGTCCTACAAATGCCGCGCTTTCTTGATTTCCATCCAATAACACCCAAGGAACAGCAGCAGTTGGCACAATTGAAGGAAGAGTTTTCAAATGTTCTAGACGACAAGGAGCTGCTAACCGGCCGGCCATTCGTAGGATGCCCAATGCACTTCACCGACCTCACACCTGGAGCAGCGTTTTTCCTACATACATGCGACATCCGCATCTTGAAGAGGAAATTGAGCAAGATGCAAACTAACTGCTAAGAAAACACAAAGTTCAACAGTTAACTAACGGATTTGGAATCAATCCGGTACTGGCGAAGAGGAAGGAACGGGGAGGCAGGAAACGCTCGTCGAATGCAAGGCCCGGAGCAAAATGACGGTGAAGTAGAAGCTTCCGGCTCCAGGGGCACACGATCTACTTGACCCCATGCAGGGTTCAGCAGTCTATTCACCATTTAACTTCGCTAAAATGTTTTTGCCTATACGAGAACATCCCGACGAGAAGCAAAAAAGTGCGTTCCCTGGCAGTACTTACCAAATACAGTGCACGTATGTACCCTGCGGGCTCTCGCATGCAGCTGACGAAGTGCAGCAACGGGTCAATCAAGATTTCTTAGGCCCAACTATTAAGGGATGGGTGACCTTAAACATGGATGACATTCTTGTGCGTAGCCATATGCAGGAGAACTTACACCACCAACGGGGTGCTCTGCAATTGCTATGCGAGAAGCAGTGGTTCGTGCGAGCAAGTTTACAAGAAAAAGTACGCTGGCT